TCTGGGTTCTTGGGCGCTTATTGTTTTAATGAAATTTTGGACGGTGGTGGTTGTGGTCCTGAATGTGATTTTAGCTGCGAGTTACGTGTCCTCGCTCCTCTCGGGCTCCCTCGGAGGGTTTTCAGAGAGGTCTCAGTGCATCCATTTTCTCAGACCCTCTCCTTCTTTCGGGGGAAAGATCTGGGGCCCTGCGGTCGCCTTGGAGCGGGAAGGCCTTCGGCTCCGGCTCTCAGAGGGGCTGCGCGGTGGCCGAGGGAGCTCCCGGGTGGCGGCGGCGGCCGTTCCGGGCTGGACGCCGTAAGGGGAGTCAGCGGATTTTCCCGGCAGGATCTCCATGTACAGCTACATCTTTAGGGCCGCTCGGGTTAATATATGTCGTCAGAGGCTCCTCACGCCAATCCCGGGGCGCCGGGGGCGGCGCCTCGCGCTCTCCGCAATAAAACTTTTTGATGTTCTTCTTGCTAATTGCCGAGGTCCTCTTCCAGGATTGGCTGCCCCTTCATAACCATAAGATAATTAAAACGAGGGGGGGCAGGGTTAAAAAAACTTTTTTATCAGCCAGAGGTTAATGCAAGTGTTTAACAGATGCTTCATTATTAAAATATTTTTCCCCCCAACTCTCAAATATTGAAGAATCTCAGACCAGGTACAGTATCTCTCCGCTTTTTTCTTTTCTGCCTTTTTTTTTAAAGGTACGCAGATATTGCTTTTCGGAGTGTTTGGTGGTAGGTAATCGAGGCAAGGCATTCCGCAGGCCGACGGGTGCAGTTTTGTGCGGGTCGAGAGCAGAGGCGGCGGGCTGCAGGGGCCCCACAAAGGGGCGGCTGAGCCCAGGCGGACGCGGGGCGCGGCGGGGAAGGCTGGTGCGTGGACCTGGGCACGGGCTGGAGACTCCTGGCTGGGGTCCCTTCACTGACCCACCACCTTCACCCCGGCGCGGGCCGTTTGGTGTGGCTGCTTTGGGAGATCCCGATGGAGACCCGCCGATTGTAAATCCCATCTCCATATTCTTCAGGGACGCCAGCCCCTCCGAAGACCTTGGGCGATTTCAAAGCGCAGGCACCTCGATTCCCCGAATTTGTGGTGTGGCGGGTCCCGGTGTTCCCCTGTTTTAACTAGCCTGTTTGGTAAGTAACTGAATCTTTTTTACAGCGTGTTCAGAGCTTATTTTCCAGTTTTTATGAACAAACATATAAATATATCTCTACATTCCTGCCTCTCCCATAAAAGCGGGCATCTGTGGAAGGCAGGTTTAGTTCTCGGAGGGGAACCATTAAACACCAGTTTAAGAGGCAGGCCAGAAGGACGGCTCGTGGATGTTTAGATTGCTGGCCTTGGTGATCTTGAACGCATTATAACGGAAAATGGATCTCCACTTGGACGTCGCCGGCCTCCCGGCACCCAGGCCAGGGCGCCCCTGTGGAGTGAGCGTCTCTGAGAAGGATCAGAAGGATCGCAGGAGGCTAGTTGGGTGAGGGGACGTTGGGACCGGACAGTGGCGGGAGCTGAAGTCATCCATCGGGCTTTGCCCAGAGCGGCCAGGGGAGGCTGATATAGATAGATGAGGGTGGTAGATGAGGATTCTGTTCGATGGAGTTCAGTTTGGGAAAGGGTGTCAGCAGAAGCCCTCTGGCATCAATTTGAGGGACCAGAGGGCAGAGTGTGCAGAAGAAGGAGCGGGCACGGTGCTGGTCCTAACCAGGGTCGCCCAGGGGAGACCAATGACGACTCCACCTAGGTCACCGACCATCCTTGGAGGCAGGCCGCAAAGTGAGTCCCCAGGACTCTGGGAGGACAATCCTCTCCTCGCCCGCTGGGTGCTTTCTGTGGGGGTACATAATTCAGGGATGGAAGGCATGGTCAGGGCAAATGGAGAGCAGGGTTGGGGGGTTGTCCAACTCCGTGGCTGCCAAGGATTTGAGGCACAGAGCCCTGGGCAACAGCACTGAGAAATAAGTTTTAGGTTGGCTGCGGCAGGGCAGTAGGAGAGGGTAAGGAACTCAGAGAGGGATGTAGGCTGGGAGTCCATGCGAGGCCCGTTCAGTTCCCTCCGTAGGTCAGTTTCCCTGGCGGCCTGGCCCTGGTCATAACGTCTTAAGGCAGAGAACAGGGAGTGGAGAGCAGCTGAAGCCAGATTCATTGGTAAGTGCCAGGGGCTTGGGTTTGGGCTGGGAACAAAATAGGGATCTAGAACTTAGAAGCTCCAACTTTGGTGGGTCTGCAATTTTGAACATAAGGAGAGTCCTTTTAAGACGTTGTTCTTCTAAGAAAGAATATAGGTAGTGTGGTCTGGGTTCTGTTTACATTTTCACCGGGAGGCAAACCCTGAATGTGTAAATATTGGTAGTTCAATCCCCTGACATTTGATACATTAAAAAAAAGTCTGTTTATAAAAACACATCTAGGCCTTGGGAGTATGTAGACAAAGTAAGATGGTTGCACCCTGGCCGGGAACAGATAAAATTCACGGAGAGTAGTTGGTAGTCTGCTTTCAGACCCAAATGGAATTTGGGGAATTGAATGGAGGAGGAAGGGGCCCAGGAGAGGGCTGAGTTGGAGATTGGGATGCTGTGTCCATCAGAGGCCAGTGGCCTCTGTGGCGAAGGCTTCAGAACTGGCCTTGCCTTTCTCGTGATCTTTAATTGAAACAACACCAACAAAAATGAGCAAGTCCCTGCATGGTCCCAGATAGCATGGCAAGTGATAAAAAAAGATGGACAACACGGGACAGAAAAAAGTCGTAAAAGATGCTAATCTGAGCATCAGTTCTTACTGACAGTGTCATTATCAGTTAATTAATGTGGTCCAAGGGTCTAGGGCTTCATTTATCTCAGAAAGCCAAACCCAGAGGCCACAGCCTTGGAAAAGCAGCGGCTTGGAGGCAGGGGACAGATGGGTGAACTCTGCTGTCTTTAACTGTAGTTACTGCCTCAGAGAAGCCAGACTAGCTGAGCACCACTCTAAATTCTCAATCAAAGGCAGCCACGTTCCCCCCTCAGTGCTCTCTTTGGCTCATTTTGCTCCAGGTGCAGTGGGATGCTGGGTTAGCTTGCTGTTTTGGAAAGCTGTGAGGCAAAGATGCCATCTCGAGTTCGCCCCAGTTTAGGTACCCGTGCCTTCCAGAGGCGGTAGTGATGAAAGTGATGGTAGTGGCAGTGATGGAGGGGGAAAGTAGAGGGGAAAAAGGGAAGGGGGGTGTAGTTCCAGGCTTAGATGTCAGCCCGGTGACCCCTCCCCAGGGCTGAACTAGTGTGGCCTCTGGGGCACTGCTCCCCAAAGGGCATATTTTCCAGTACTCAGAGGGCCCCAGCTGCTGAGATGATGCTGGCTGGGGGGCAGCCCTAGGGTGGGTGCCCACAGGAGGAATCCTGGCAAGGGCATTACTTCCTACTTCTCCTTTTCCTAGGCTGGGGGGCTGCAACTTGCCTTACAGGGGGTCAGTGTGGAGACCCCTGCACAGGGGGGCCGCCCTGGTTTGGGGGGATGTTTCTGATTCTGTGTCCACGGTCTTTGTCGTAGCTGATGGTGTACTCACTGTGCTGCTCATGACATCTGCCTCCAACTAAACAGACAGAACCGGGTTCAAACATTTATTGTGCACTCATGTCCCTGTCTCTCTCCCTTCACTCCCACCCCCTCCCCTGGAAAAGATTCAAAGAGCATGAGAGAGGCCGAGCACTCCCTTGCAAACATGTTGGTCTTGTGAGATACTTTAAAAATCAATCTGGTTTAAACGGAAAAAAAATTTTTTTTTAAACCTCAGTGTGTTTTAGGGAAAATACAGGTCTTTTTGAGTTCTTTATGATTCCAAAGGCAAGGGCAGTTTGTATCTTGTGTTTTGCTCATGAGAACTCAAAATAAACTGGACCTGAAACGAACCAGGCCAAAGGGCCATAAACGCACATTTTATGTTTACGGGAATGATGGCTCAATTCCCTTCGTCGTTTTTCAAATCTCGTTTTACCTTATTTCCCCAACTAACATAGAAGTCACTGAGCATTCCCTTTTATATCTACAATGAGCTTATATCAGTGACCCCCAGGAACCCACCAAACCCAGAAGGTGGCACAAGAAGCAACGTGTTCTTGAAGAGGTAACCCAGTCCCACCTGCTCCCAGGACCCTGCTCCCAGGACAGCCGGATGGCTCTGCATTCCTGTCTGTACTCGGGTGGGATGGAGTCATCGTAGGTGCTAACCACTTAGTTTCAGAACCCTTAGGACATCCAGAACAAGACACATTGCCTGAGTGCCGGCAAGGGTTTCTCTCGAACTGGGGTTTTGTAGGCCCTCACTTCCTTGTTTTCCTTTTCGGAAACAGTTGTCTACAGACCTGGCAAGTGACAGTGGCTCCAGCAATGAAGTGCCGCTTGCAGTACACATCTACAAAGCAGAATCAAATTCCATCGGACTTTTGTATCTGTTTCAGACATGAAGGGCGGGGGAAAGCTTCCCTTGGGCTCTTATGAGGTTTTATTTCATCTGAGCATTTTCTTTTTTTGTGTTTTGGGGTGGGGGCAGGGTATTTGAAGAGTGAGCCCTGTTTTCCCCATCCAGAGCGGTTCTGTGGAGATGGGGGCGGGGAGGGGCTGATCCAGCTGCAGTGATGACTGTGAAGGGGCTGATTGCTTATGACTCCTTCAGTCCAATGATGATTAAGAAACATCCCAGTCAGTGGACACAATTGGGACTTGCCTGTTGCCTGTATATCTTCCCTTCCCCCTTTCTTGCCCCCGCCTCCCCTCCACTTGGTCCCTCTTCTCCCCTGTCTCCTTCCCTCCCTTCTAATTTGCCCTCTAGCGAAGTTTGGGCTGACAAGGTTTTTGATGTTACTGACTGGTTCATCCTAACTCCTCTAAGAACACCCCCCCCCTTTTTAAAATTGAGATATAACTGACATGCAACATTGTTGTAAGTTTAGGGTATACAACATGTATGCAAAATATTAATATCCAAGATGACTGGCATTGGGAATTTCCATTTCCTCCAAATAATCAATGACTAGCTCTCCATGCTAACGGGAAGATAGTCAGCTGGTCTGAGGGGTTTGCACTGATAAGAACGAGGTACTTTGTTAGGTATCCAGGTCTGTAAAGCTAAAATACTTATTCAGACTAAAGGGGACAAAAGATAGTGTACGTGAAAGGGCCTCACAAGAGGCAGTATCCATGGGAGGTGTTATTAATGTTATTACAGGGGTCCTAAGAGGTCCTGTAAATCTGATCTTGGCTACTTTGCAGTAAAATATAGTTTATACCCCACAGGATTTATGTTAACTACTCATCCACATTCTTGTTTCAAGCAAATTGTATACATGCCAGCAATATTTTCTTCCAAGCCGGGAGGAAATCATTCAACATTCAGAGGAGGAAGTAATTGCAAGTTTGCATCCATGCTCTGTGGAAACAGTAAGTAATTAACTTCAACTAGTCCTAAATACAGTCTGGGGTGCAGAATAAAGTACAAAAGCAAACAGCAACTTAAAACGCGGGGCTTTGGACAAACCATTTATGTGACTGAAGGGTCTGTTTGTGACTTGCGGGCCAGGCCATGGCCACTTCTAACTGCAGTATTGCTCGCATTCCTGGAAGTCCTGTTCTGAAACCTCCTTTGCAAACTCACATAGAGGGATTTCTTTTGCCCTGGCAGTTCCTTCCAAACCTTTTCTACTTTCTTCTAGGCAAGGGCCTTTGCGTCTAGTCGAGGGACGTGAGCCAGGATGGTTAGGTTTCAGGTTAACAAAAAGAAACACTTTTATTGTCAATATTAATGGCAAACCTCGATCTTTACAAGGCTTGGGTTTAGCAGCGTGAGCAGATCAAAAGCAGCTTGGCTTGATTTCTCAATATTCTCTGGAGCTTAGACAATTAACTGCAATTTTGCTCCAAACGAAACAACAGACAAAAGTTAGTTACAGAAATGGGACAGCTAGTCTTTCAGCAGAGATTTTTACCTGTGCACACCATGGCAGAATCTAATAAATTTGCCCACTGAACCTGAGTTGAGTTTTGAAGGAAACCTCCTTAAAGTGTGTGAGCCGAGTGTCTTCATTTGCAATGTCAGGAGCCTGTTTCAGTGTGTGCATTCCACACTCGCCTTTCTGGCCGGGTGAGGATCCGGCAGACTGAGGTCTCCCTGGTAATTTGGGTACACCGAGTCTCCAGTTAATGATAGATAATCAGCCTCTGGGTCATTCGGTCATTCTCTTATTACAAACCCCTCCTGCTCTCTCTGATCTCCTTTCAAACTAAATTTCACACAAATAAAGCAAGACAGGGACAAGTTCTTGAGAGAGAGAGAGAGAGAGAGAGAGAGAGAGAGAAGAGAGAGAGAAGTATTAGAAACTCCTGATACAGAACTCTAAACAAGGAAAGGCAAACTAAAAGAGGATAGGAAAGGACATCTTATCAAAATGAACATGTTGTGTACAAAACATGAAAAGGAAAGGCTCTGGTTTTTGTTCAAGTGACAGAAAATTAAAATAAAAATAATTGCAGGCAGAAAAGTTATAAACAGAGAAGGCAGGATGCTTGCGGGAAATGCGCAGCACTGGGAGGCTAATTTGTTGTTACAGATTATATATCTGCCCCGTGATTGGAGAGGGGCGACTTTGTTCCATTTTCCAGCAGAGAATGGTTTTCTTTGAATACTTGTGTGAATGCCCACTTACGTTAACACAGGCCAAAACCTCGAGGAACAAAACGTGGAATTGCATTCTGCTTGCAAAGCATCCAACTTCAAAGAAGAAAAGCAGAATTCCATTCAGAACACGTTTGGAGGCTTCTCTCAATCGGTGTGGCGGGTGCTTTTTTGTTTTGCTAACAGAAGGCACAGATCACTCTTGGGGAAGTCCAACCGAAACCAGGCCTCCCCTATCCCCTCCCCACCCCCCCCTTCTCCGGGGGTCTTCCTTCTTCCAGTCTACATCTGCCTCTGCCTCCAGAAAGACAAACTTCAGATTGGCTAAGCTGCATTTCTGACCATATCCCTCTGGGGAGGCGCTGGCTTGTGTGGCTCTAGTTAACAGCGGTTCTCAACCTGTGGGTCGCGACCCCTTTGGCGGTCGAACGACCCTTTCCCAGGGGTCGCCTAAGACCATCCTGCATATCAGATATTTACATTACAATTAGTAACAGTAGCAACATTACAGTTATGAAGTAGCAACGAAAATAATTTTATGGTTGGGTCACAACATGAGGCGCTGTATTTAAAGGGCGGGAAGGTTGAGAACCACTGCTAGGAGTTCTGGGGAGAGCGCCCCCAGTGCATGTTCCCACCGCCGTCCTTGACAGTCTCCCTTGGCCCCAGCCCAGGGCTCTGGAAGGGTCTAAGTCTAGCCCTAAGGGTGCTGTCGACAAGCCCTAATCTGCAGAGAGACTGGAATTTAGGCTCAGGGTTTGATCAACTCAGTTCTCAAGTTAGAGGAGCAAGCAGGAGATGGCAGCAGGTGCCCAACTGTGGGTCTGACACCCGCTGCCTCCTCAGCATAGCTAGCATACACCCCCCCCCCCCCAAATGCCTTCCATCCAGGAATCCTTTCCAGGTCTAGCTTCCCTTCTCTCTCTTCCACCAACTCAATCTTTTTTCTTTTGAACTCCTTTCTGGTGCCCCTGCTTTGGTTTCTCTAGTAGATCTCTGGGCACTTCCTGTGACTATGGGTTCGTGGGGAGTCCCATCAACGCCTTGAACCCTGTAGTAGGTGCTTAAACGGCTTGTGTAAAAGGGGTGACTTAGAGCAGTCAGGTGAATCCCGCCTATCCCGGTAGCAGTCGGGTTGGGTTTTATTTTGAAAGCGACTCGAGCTAGTGGAGGAGTTGATCGAGGCCCATTAGGAAACCGACCTTTCTCTCTAACTCCTCGGGAGACCCAGGGAAGCCGTCCTCCCATCCATCGCACCGGCATCGGGTCTGCGGCAGCCAGCTTTGGATCCGGGAGGGGGTGCCCTTTCTCGACCTCCTGGGGCCCGGGAGTCCGAGCCGGCACGGAGGGCTCTGGGCTCCCCACGGAGGGGCGCCCCGGTCTTTCTGAGCCTTAGTTTCCCCATCTGAACAATGCGGGCAATGAGCCCGGCCTCGAGGGTGTTTGGGGAAGATGAACCGATTTCTGGTTGCGCGTAGTAAGTATTTATGTATCTCCTCTGCCTCTCCGGTTTCTCGCCCTCTCTTCCAGGAGCCCGAGGACGCAGCCAGACAACTGCGGGCCGGGCCGGGTCGCCTCCCCGGGGATCGCAAGGCCTCAGCCCTCGAAGGACAGTGTGCGCCCCAGACTGAGATGCGGGGCTGCAGCCACAGCCCGGGACTGTTAGGGTGCAGGGGGCGCCACCCCTCACTTAGGCCTCTGCGCTGGCTGCTGGGCCGCTCCTGGTTAACGTCTCCTTTTGATGCCACCGCCGCCTAGGAGGCTGTGCGCCCCAGACTGAGATGCGGGGCTGCAGCCACAGCCCGGGACTGTTAGGGTGCAGGGGGCGCCACCCCGCACTTAGGCCTCTGCTTTGGCTGCTGGGCCGCTCCTGGT